ATTCCATATTATTGAGGGAAGACAGGGGAAATTTGCATAGTGTCATAAGCTCTATCAAAGAGTGGTTTCTGAAAATTTGCTTTTGAATTAAAAAACAAAACAAAAACACAATAACCTCAGAATTGGAGGAATTTAAAATATAATCTTAAATGCAAAGACAAATTCAGATGCAGACCCCTTCCTCACCCTTTAATTTTAACAAATTCGCCAAATCATGCCTTAATGTGAAAATAGCCACAGGAGGGTAAAAGGAGGGCACAAGAAATTCCCTAAGGGTGAATTTGTGGAGTTTCCATCAAATCACCTTGTGTATGGGAAAGTTTAGGGAGGTCATGGAGGGTTCTCTGATACAGAGGCCGGGGATTATTAGTGCCATGCATGCATGGTGTGCCCCTCTGTACTGCTGTTATGTGCTTGACCCTGGCTTCTGCCAAAGTTATTGCCCCCTATAAGCATCAAGCCTCAGCTCTGCTTCACTGCTTAGATACTAAGATGATCAGTGCTCCATAAATACCTTAGAGAGATGGATAAGGCACGTGTATAATTAATTAGGACAGCTCTTCCACTCCTGTCTATACCCATGAAAAGTGCAATGTGAACAGCTTAAGCGAGTGGTCCACCACTGTGGAGGTGACAACCCTTCCTATATTTCAGTGCCACTGAAAGCAGTGTCTGCTCTAGCAAAGTTCCATCCGCTTGCAAAAGCAGAGATACAGTTGAGATCCTTGTATAGTCAAAGCACTTTTGTGAGATGTTTCTGATTAGCCTCTTGTTGATTGTGTTTAAAAAAAATGGCTGAGTCATTTTATAACATGCCCTTTAGCACAATTTAATGGCCTCTTAAATTGCCGTGAGTTTTAGAACTATTGACATATCCACATTTATTGGAGTAATTTTAGGGTGGAACTGTTCATTTATTTATCTTGTTAAGTGAATTTATTGCTTATAAAGTCCTGGGGATCCAAGTCTCTATTTATTCACACAACAGGTGATAACCCAGGTAAAGTGTGCAAGCTTCCTGACAAAGCTGTCATTTGAGGCCCACAAAATCATACCTCCCACCCCAATTTTAAGATAATTTAAGTACCAACTCTAACCTTAGATTTAATTTTTAAAAGGTTGTAGCCTTTTTTAATTATGGAAATAATGTTGCTTGTGTAAACTAATTAGTTGGTTTGAAAGATTATCACAGTGATTTTTTTTTCTCCAAACAATTACTGGTCAGGTTATCAACCCTTCCCTCTGGCTTCATATGACCACAGGCTTCATGGTCCAAGCCTTAAGTCCCACAGTTTTCAGGGACTTTGACTAATTGATTTATAGTTGTGGGTGAGCCATTATCTGGCTTCCTGAATGAGCTCTCTCTCTGAGTTGTCATTGTGACATCTAGCCATGAGATGGACCATCTTAGTTATTGAGCTAGGTCAGGTGCTTATCAGTGTGTAGGGGAAAGAGGTAATGGGGGTTTGGCCCACTTTTCCTGTTTCAGAAGCCTGCTTGAGGGAGTGGGAACTAGAGGAGGGTGAATCCTTGTGAGGAGAGATGGAAAAAGAAGGCACAATGTGAAGGACTTTGGAAAGAGACAACAGAAGGGGGCTGAAGCCACGCTAGAAGCAAGGGATGGAAGGAGAGGGAGAAGAGAGAGATAATAGAATTCAGGAGGAGGGGAGGATCACAGGAAGAAGAATAATGGAAGAGCACAGTGAAGAGTAAGTGTGACACTGGAGAATGGGTGAAAATAGGAAAGATCAAGTATGGTAGGTAATGAATTAAGAGAATACCAAACGAGAGAGAATAATCAAACATAGGAGAGAAGAATGGGATAAAGAAAATAAAGGATTTAAAAAAAGAAAAGATTTAAAATGTTTGGGTTAGTGAATTTTGTTTAATTTATGTGTTTCCATATTTTTTTTTGGTGTTTTCTTGGCAGATGTCCTACATAATAGCTTTTATTTTTGGAGGAAGAAAATGGAACCTCCAGAGCCTCAGGTTATCTGGAGTGTGGTCTACTGCAAACCTCTCCAAACTAACTGTTGCGGTTCATACTCAGCATTGTAGCATCTGAATACCTTTTGTAAAAACTAAATTAACCACACAAGGATCTCTGTCCATCTCGTCTCCTGTCAGAAGAACTATATTTTGCTAGCAATTATTACTGTAGGATAGGGATGTCAAAGAAGAGGGTTTTAACATTTTGATCTGACAGCTTTGAGTTTTGTGGTGATTCTGACATCTATTGGGAGTAAGTTTCATATTCATGGGCCAGCTGCAGAGCAAGTTCTGCCTCCTGCCTAGAGTCTTGCTCTTGTGGTTGATGGTTCTGTTCTTCCAGTGTAAACTAGCTGTTTTAGAAGGTCATATGCATGCTATATGAGGAAGAATCTCTGCTAATCTGGACCATTCCCTTAGAGGACTTTGAAGATAATGACAAAAGCCTTGAACTTGGTTCTGTATTTAGTAGGGAGACAGAGTAGAGAGCAGACAACTGGAGTGATGTGCGATCATCATTCTTTTTTGCTGAGCAAGCAGGGCTGCTAACTTTTTTTTTTTTTGAAGGTTGGTGATTTAATTCCTAGGTACAATGCATTACAGTGATGAAGCATGGAGGCCAAGAATGTGCTGATCACTGTGGTCAACTTTGAATCTGTTAGGATGGGGAACACTCTCTGGTCCTGCTGCAGGCGGTAGTCGATTCCTTACATCTATTGATATTTGGGTATCTAATACCATTACTGAGTTCAGAAAGACCTTCAGGATGACCATCATAGTGGTCTGAGGGCAAACACTCATAATGAAAGGTGATGCTATAGTAGTTGTGAGGTCCTCAAAGTGCTTCCCTCTCATCACAGTTTGTCCTGTATTGAAATGTTGGCAACTGTGCATCGACACATGTGCAAGCAGTTGGGCTCTCCTGCTGCTGAAGAAAAGAAAGCTAACGGTGACTTGAAGATTCTGCCTATGTCAGTTAAATATGGGGCGTGTCAAAAAAAGTTTGGAGAGGTCCTTTAAGAAAGGTAATTCTAATGGCCTCCCCAAATTTTTTGGGCCAGTCCACCTTTCTCCCTTCATAACGTTTATTTGCTTCAACTTTGTTCGGACAGGGATAGCTCTAAGGCAGGGGCGGGCAAACTTTTTGGCCTGAGGGCCACATCGGGTTTCCGAAATTGTATGGAGGTCCGGTTAGGGGAGGCTGTGCCTCCCCAAACAGTCAGGCTTGGCCTGACCCCCGCCCCCTATCTGATTCCCTCTACTTCTCACCCCCTGACACCCCTCCCCGGGACTCCTGCCCCATCCAACATTCCATGTTCCCTGACAGCCCCACTGACCCCCATTTCCTGTCCCCTAACTACCTCCAGAACCCCTGCCCCTGACTGCCCCATCCAACCCCTCCTCTCATTCCTGACTGCCCCCCGGGACCCAGGCCCCATCCAACCACCCCTTCTCCCTGTCCCCTGATTGCCTTAACCCCTATTCACAACCCCACCCCCTGACCACCACCACCCCAAACTCCCCTGCCCCCTTACTGCGCTTCCTGGAGCACCAGTGGCTGGCGGCGCTACTGCCGCGCCACCCAGAGCAGCAGGATAGGCAGCTGTGCTGCCCAGCAGGAGCCAGCCACACCACCGTGCAGCACAGTGCACTGGGTCAGGCTGGGCTTTGCAGTTGCGCTGCCCCAGGAGCTCGTAGCCCCGCCACCCAGAGCATTGCACCAGCGGCGCAGTGAGCTGAGGCTGCAGGGGAGGGGGCTAGCCTCTTGGGCCGGGCAGGAGGGTCCCGTGGGCCAGATGTGGCCCACGGGCCGTAGTTTTCCCACCTCTGCTCTAAGGGTAAGAAAGTAGTTCATTCTCTCCACATGCTGAATCCTCATCCTCTCCACTGAGAGGATGCCAATTTAGTGTTAATTTGGAAAGTATTTTTTGTGATGTGCACTATCACTTGCTCAAGATGCAATATACAGACAGTTCCTATTCCAGAAAGCTTGTAAAATAATTAAAACAGACCTAGAATAGAGTGGTTGCACTCGGAAGTCCAGAGGAGTGAATGATTACACTCTTAACGTATTCTAAGAACTGCACTGAGACTATCTTTTGACATTAGCCATTGAACAGCCTAAATTAGAAGGCATGAGAATGACTTTCTGTCACTATTGTACCGGTGCCACATGTGACCCAGTAACCTGAAGTGAAAGGCTTGGTAATCCATTATGAAGCACTGGGGTTATCCAGACACCACTCATTTTTTTTTTATTTATAAAACAAGTCAATAACACGTGGCCTGTAATGGTGACATTTCAGAGACTGTTTTTAGTATGGTATAACCTTAATAACAATTTTGGCAGCTAATCATTATCTGCTTTTTATTTGGGCTTGAATGAGATATGTTTGTTACATGTGGAGGAATTTTATTCATTTGTATGCTATAGGACAAAGTATATTAACTTTGAGTAGCTATTGGTATAGTTATATTCAATGAATACTTTCCAATTGATTTTCAGATTACAATAAATGAGAGGAAGTCCTTTAGCCTAATTTTTTACTCAGTCTTAAATTTAGTTTTATATAGACAAACTTAATATTTGCAAGAAAATTCAAACTGAAGTTAGTAGACTTCTTTAGTAGTTGCTTTCAGATGTTCCTTTCATGACAGAGTAAAAAACTGTGTAATTAACTTTGGCATTTAATTTATCAATCCTTCCAGGGTATAGCAGTATTCCCTATTTTTCGGGTTTATGAACTTGCATCGTTACATTTTTGACATTTTATTATCTTATTTTTATTATAAAGTTGCTGTATGTTTCAGACTATTTAAAGATACCTTTAGATTGTCTGAAACATACGGAAACTTTGAGAGATCATAATCTAGTCATGTTACTTTTAGCCATATTAGAGATGTAAGACTTTAATTATGTGATTTAAAATACAAAAAGGATTTAATCAAAATTAAAATGACACAAGTAATTTTTGCAAAGCCTCAGTTAATGATTCTTTATTTTGTTTCAGGGGTTTTGATAATTGCCATCATGGGGAGACCCTTGACCATGCTGCTGTTGCTGCTGGTGCAGCATTTTGGAAACTGTGAAGGAAATCAAAGACCATATCATGCTTCACTAGTGCAATTTACACAAGTCCAGTACAATGCCACGGTGTATGAAAATTCTGCAGCCAAGACTTATATTGAGCAGCCAGTAAAAATGGGTATTTACCTTGCAAATCCACTGTGGGACATAAGATACAAAATTATATCTGGTGACAATGAAAACTTGTTCAAAGCTGAAGAGTATATTCTTGGAAACTTTTGCTTTTTGAGAATACGGACCAAGGGAGGAAATACAGCTATTCTTAACAGAGAGGTGAAAGACCATTACATATTGACTGTAAAAGCAGTTGAAAAGAATACTAATGCTGAAGCACGCACACAGGTCAGGGTGCAGATACTGGATACAAATGACTTAAGACCCTTGTTTTCTCCAACATCTTACAGTGTTTCTTTGCCTGAAAATACAGCAATAAGGACCAGCATTGCTAGAGTAAGTGCAACAGATGCAGATATTGGAACCAATGGAGAATTTTACTACAGTTTTAAAGAAAGAACAGATATGTTTGCTATACATCCAACCAGTGGTGCAGTGGTTCTAACTGGAAGACTCGACTATGCAGAAACTAAGCTTTATGAGATGGAAATCCTCGCAGTGGATCGTGGAATGAAATTGTATGGCAGCAGCGGTATTAGCAGCATGGCAAGGCTAACTGTTCACGTAGAGCAAGCAAATGAATATGCTCCTGTTATTACAGCTGCTGTCTTGGCTCCTTCAGAATTGGACAAGGATCCAACATATGCAATTGTAACTGTTGAGGACAGTGATCAGGGTTCAAATGGAGAAATAGCATCTTTAAGTATTGTGGCTGGTGACCCACTTCAACAATTCAAAACAGTGAGGTCTGTTCCAGGAGGTAAAGAATATAAAATCAAAGCTGTTGGCCACATTGATTGGGAGAGCCAACCTTTTGGATATAATCTGACTCTTCAGGCTAAAGATAAAGGAAATCCTTCACAGTTTTCTTCTGTAAAAGTTATTCACGTGACATCCCCACTGTTTAAGTCTGGACCGGTCAGATTTGAAAAAGATGTGTATAGAGCAGAGATAAGTGAATTTGCCCCTCCAAACACTCCTGTGATAATGGTAAAAGCTTTGCCTAATTATTCCCAATTAAAATACATTTTTAAAAATGCACCAGGCAAAGTCAGATTCAACTTAAACCCGCACACAGGTCTTATTACCACTTTAGAACCCATAAAAGCACAATATTCATCCCATTTTGAACTTGAAGTCATGACAAGTGACAGAAAAGCCTCTGCAAAGGTGTTGATTAAAGTAAGAGACATGAACAGTAATCCCCCTGAATTTACTCAGACATCATATAAAGCTTCCTTCGATGAGAATGTGCCAGTTGGTACTAGTGTCATGAGTGTGAGTGCAAAAGATCTTGATGAGGGTGAGAATGGTTATGTGACATATAGCATTGCAAACTTGAATCCTTTACCATTTGTGATTAACCATTTCAATGGTATTATCAGTACCACGGAAGACATGGATTATGAATTGATGCCAAGGGTTTACAATTTAAGGATTCGAGCATCTGATTGGGGCATACCATATCGTCGAGAAGTTGAAGTTCCTGTTACTATTATTTTAAATAATTTGAATGATAACACACCGCTGTTTGAAAAAATAAATTGTGAGGGAACAATCCCTAGGGATCTTGGTGTTGGAGAACAAATTACTACTGTATCTGCTATTGATGCTGATGAGCTCCAGTTGGTGAGATACCAGATTGAATCTGGAAATGAATTAGATTTATTTATCTTAAATCCAAACTCTGGGGTGCTTTCCCTGAAGCAATCTCTAATAGATGGTTTAGGTGCTAAAGTATCTTTTCATAGTCTGAGAATTACAGCTACAGATGGTGAGAACTTTGCAGTACCATTATATATCAACATAACGGTAGCTGCCAGTCGTAAACCAGTAAACTTGCAATGTGAAGAGACTGGTGTAGCCAAAATGCTGGCAGAGAAACTACTGCAGGCAAATAAGCCACACAATCATGGCGAGGTTGAGGATGCTTTCTTTGATACTCACTCTATGAATTTACATGCACCTCAGTTTAGAAGTACTCTTTCAAGCAGTGTTGAAGTAAAGGAAAGCCTACCGGTGGGTTCCAGCATAATACTTATGAATGCCACTGATCTTGACGTTGGCTTCAATGGAAAACTAGTTTATGCTATCTCTGGAGGTAATAATGATAGTAGTTTTACTGTGGATTTGGAAACAGGAATGTTAAAGATTTTATCTCCCCTTGATCGAGAAGTAAAAGATAAATACACTCTGAATATTACTGTGTATGATCTGGGAATACCACAAAAGTCAGCTTGGCATCTTTTAGATATCAACATTTTGGATGCCAATGATAACAGACCAGAGTTTTTACAGGACAGCTATTTTGTTGAAGTGAGTGAAAACAAGGAGCTGAACAGCGAAATCATTCAGATTGAAGCCACAGATAAAGATTTGGGGCCCAATGGGGAAGTGAAATATTTTCTTCTTACAGATACAGACATGTTCACTATTAACAGTACGACAGGTGTTGTGAAAGTTGTAGGGGCTTTGGATCGTGAAATCCAACATGTGCATTTCCTGAAAATAGAGGCCAGGGACCAGCCAAATGAAGAACCTCAGTTGTTTTCCAGTGTACTTTTGAAAGTATCTTTAGAAGACGTCAATGACAATCCTCCTAAATTTATTCCATTGAATTATCATGTGAAAATTCGAGAGGACCTTCCAGAAGGAACTATTATCACATGGCTGGAAGCATATGATCCTGATGTGGGCCAGTCAAGTCAAGTACGATACAGCCTTTTAGATAGTGGAGATGGAACCTTTGATGTAGATAAATTGAGTGGAGCAATACGTATTGTACAAAGACTGGATTTTGAAATGAGACAAGTTTATAACCTGACTGTACGGGCCAAGGACAAAGGAAAGCCAATTTCATTATCTTCTACCTGTTACGTTGAGGTTGAGGTGGTTGACGTAAATGAAAATTTGCACCCTCCACGGTTTTCCAGCTTTGTGGATAAGGGCTTTGTAAAAGAAGATGTCCCTATTGGTTCATCTGTGATGACAATAACTGCCTATGATGAGGATGCAGGAAGAGATGGAGAGATTAGGTATTCAATCAGAGATGGATCTGGTGTTGGCATTTTCAGAATAGATGAAGAAAAAGGTAAGAATTTTTTGTCCTATCTTAATTCACTTATTCTGTTTCCAGTATTTAAAAAAAAACCCAAACAAACAAAACCCCAAACAAACCTAAAGCACTAACAGTGATAAGAATGTGTTTTTACACTATTTTATTAAACATTTCTAATCAATTTATATATTTTTCTTCACAGTTTTAGTGGATGCACACTGTTAGGAAGTGAAACAAAGTGAAAACATTTGATAAAGTTGCATTTTTCCTACTTGGATTAAATATTTACAGCATATATTATACATTGGTCTCAAAACCTCTCCCACATGAGCTCCAAAAGGAATATTATATGGGGTCCAGATTGTGGAGCTCTTACTCATCTTGTTAAGAACTTACTCATGTGCATAGTTCCATAAGTGAAGACTCACCAGGATGCTACAGTCTGGCCTTAAGGAAAGAGTAGAAACTTTAACTCTGGAATTTTCTTGCCTTTTTTTCTTTTTTTTTCCTTTTTTTTAACTTGTTAGATCATTGCTATCCTTTGAATATAGCTTCTCTGTGTGCTGATTATATTTGCTGCTTTTGGTAAATTTATTTAGTAGCTTTCTCTGTTGTTCACCCTAACAATAATAACTGTGCATTTTTGGTGAACGAACAGAAATAAACTTCTTCCAAAACAAAATACATTTGCAGCTTGTTAATATAATATTTTATGGTGATAAAGGATTCATATATGCATTGATATAACAGATTCAGAGGTGTTGCTTTGTTGTGTCAGTGATTCATAGGTTAAGAACTGTTGGAGGCATTTTACTCCAGTCTAATTCATTCAAAGGTGCTATCGTTATAACCTCAGTAAAATATTAAAATTCTATAAATTATTTCTTGAATAAGTGTCTCTAACACAGTTAAAATGAAAATTGCTACTCATTCTACCTCCCCCATACAATTTTTTTCTTTAAAAAATAAAATATTAAATTTCACAAAATCAAAGAAATTCAGAGTGATGTCTTCTTGTATAGTCTTTCTTTCATGCCACTGTACTCTGATACTTTGTGTCCAAGAGTTGTATGCATTTTCACATACCTTCAGTGCTAGATTACCGAAGCACAAATAACAAAGTTAAGCAGAAATCATGGGCAGAGTTCCGCGCTGTTACACCATTGGTAATCTGTCATAACTCATATTAGTTCACTGGTATCTGAAGATTTCGCTCATGTTTCATTAATTGGTCTCACAGGGTATGTCTACACTGCAGTTAGTCACCTGTGGCTATCCCGTGTCAGCTGACTCACGCTCCTATGGCTCAGGCTGCGAGGCTGTTTAAGAGCAATGTAGACACCTGGGCTTAGGCTGCAGCCCGAGCTCTGAGACACCCCCACCTCGCAGGATCCTAGAGTCTGGGCCCAGGCCAGAGCCTGGAAGGCCAACACAACAATGAAATAACCCCACAGCCCGAGCCCCATGAGCCCGAGTCAGCTGGCATGGGACAGCTGCAGGTTTTTAATTGCAGTGTAGACATACCTCCTGTCTGTGGGTAACCTAGTTACAAGTTACAACTCACTTAATGATTCCATATTTTGTACATAGGGGTCTGCCAAATTCGTGCCTGTGGAAAAATGTGCAACGGACAATGAAATCTGGTCTTTTCTGTACTTTTATCCTATAGTAGAAGTACACGGAGTTTCTCAAACTGGAGGTCCCAACCCAACTCCAGCTGGGGGTTGCAGGTCTATTGTAGGGGGGGTAGTAGTATTGCCACCCTTACTTCTGTGCTGCCTACAGAACTGGGTGGCTGGAGAATGGCAGCTGCTGGCCGGGCGCCCAGCTCTGAAGGCAGCACCGCCAGTAGCAGCACAGAAGTAAAGGTGGCACGGAATATTCAGCTGTATGAACACATCCACAAAATTTGCTATTTATGCCCTAACCAACCTGTGAAAAATGGTCATTTTGTTGTAATTTAGTTAGACCCCTATTTATACACGTCTTGTAGTGTCCCATGAGTACTGGTGAATTGTGCCCGTAAGATTGCTTAGCTTTTCAAGATTTAGAAGAACAAAATGTTGCTTGAAACGTTTATTTAGAAAGTCAGCTATTAATCAAAATAATATTGGTTCTTGTTAAAGAGCAGATCTCCAGAGTTGTAATTAGTTTCACCTCTTTTACCTTATATTTGTACAAAGTAGGTTTAGAAAATGTTTAATGAACTACTTTCAAAGTCTTAGTAATTTCATGTTTAGTTTTTGGCATGCTTGACAGATTATTTATGCTTTTCAGTATTCTGTCTCTTCTTTAGTGCAAATATATTCAAGTTTGTTTTATGTAGAAAAGAGTCTTACTTTAGTCCCATATGTGGGTCTGTAGAATTAATCCAGTTTTGCCATTTTACTATCTAGGTGCCATTCTTTCTTCTTCAGTACCAGTTCATTCGTGCATGGCCCTTGATTCTGCCACTCTCATTAAGTAGGTGGCAGAATCATGTGTCTAATGTTTCCTTTTACGCCTTCATTTACCTAAGTGATTTTTTTAAACCTAAGGCCAAATCTTGTTTGCCTTACTTTTTTGAATTTAATAGGACTACTCATATAAGGCAAGCAGGATTTGGTCCCAAGGCTTCTATTTAATACTTTTGGCAGGGATAGTGTTGTGGATATGTGTAAACTCAATTTTAAAAGTTGCTGTAAGTTAACCCTATTTTCATTGCTGATATATAGTGTTGTTTTTGTGTTTTGATTTTAATAATCATGTATAGTAGGAGGCCCAACTATACATGCTGTTGAAATCAGATTGCTTACTTCTATGTACAGCCTCTTTTTCAGCCTTTTTGAGGAAAAAGGGCAATTACTGCCCCCCCCCCCTCCACAAAAGGCTGAAAAGAAAGCTGAGAAAAGATGCTTAAAAGGTACCAAGCCCTTCCCAGTATGTCTTAAGAATATAGAGGTCCTTGACACTAAAACACTGCTTAAAAATAAAACCTTTTAATGATGCTTATTTGGAGACCATACAAGGACTCTATTATACTTTATAAGTGCAATAGTATTTATGCCACTCATCACCGTGGTATTCTGCCTTTGCTGTTGGTAATAGGGAATAGGCTGCTGGATAGGTGACTGGGAGACAGAGTAGAGAAGCAACAGATTGGAGTGGGGGAGAGACCAGATTGGACTTCTGACAAACAGCTGTGTGACTGATTTTCTAGATTCACTGAGAGGGTAGGGAAGAGCCCTTTATTCCTTGAGCCAGTTGTCTCCCAGGTATTCTCCTCTGGCAGGATCGTATTGCTTCATTCATGTTACTCCCAGTCCAAAGTTAGGTAGACTTCATATTTTAGGAAACTTTTTTTGACTCAAAACTAAGATACCAAGTATCTAAAGGGAACCACCTATCTTATATTTAAGGAATCAAAGGTGGGAATCACATGAAGTGCATGTGGGGAATTTAAAACCTATGAGGGGGTGTGGGTGTGAAAACAGTTCAACATGATGGAATTTCTTGGGGCTGGAGGTGGTTTGTTTTTTTTCAGAAAGCTAGGAAATTACCTACAAAACTTGCATTACAAGAACCTTAAGTTTGCAAAGTCAAGCTCAAAAGTTAGGAAATAACAGTAGCACCTCAATTTTACAAACACCAGTCTCTTATGAATGATCGCTTATATGAACCTTTTTTCTCGAGTGAGTGTGTGTGTGTGTGTGAAATTAAATAATGACAGCGATGTAAGTGAAGAACAACATCCTTTCACATCCCAATGTCTTCAGTGGATTGGAAATCACTTTGCAGTGGCTGAAAGGATAAGAAGAAAACTATGCGCTATACTAATACTTAGAACCTTACCTACTGCAACTTTTGAGATGTTTGATTTTATGAACTACTCAGTCCCCAATTAGTTAATAAAATAGGGTTCTAGCGTATTAAAATTAGGGTTGGTTTCTTGAGTGCCTGTGCAACCTTAAGTTAGCCATTTCCTATTGTTTTAAATGCTTGATTTTTGCCACCTTAATATTCTTCTAATGCCTTCAGGCCAGTTGTCCTCCTCTAGAACAGTGGTCTCCAAACTCTTTTGATCGCGCACCCCTATCAGTAAAAATTTTTTGAACATACACCGCCTGCCGTGCCGAAGCGCAAAAAAAAAAAGCCACTCAGACTCCCACCCGAACTGCCGAAGCCAAAAAAAAGAAGCGCTTCTCCTGCCGCGCACCTCCAAGGATCCTCTTGTGCGCACCCCACTGCTCTAGAACATGCTTTCTCATGTACTAGTATGTACATACTCTCATAGGATATACTTTCAGGCAGCCACATGTCCTTGTGCACCCCAACTCGGCAATCAGAGGATTGGAAAACGATCCCCTAGATGTGCTTGTCATTTTAAATGCCCTTTTTTGTTTTGGAGCTGTTGCGCCCTAGAATGCCCCGTGGCAAGAAAGAACTCCAAAAATGGAGTATTTTCTAGTCTCACTGCTAATGAATGGAGATGAGGAAGTTGGGCACCTCTTGCATTCCCCTATCAATATTTTATTTGGATAAATACATGGGACAGGCTTACTATATGGCTACCGAAATCCTAGAGTGGGGCAGTTGGCCATCTTTGGAGTGGGAGGTTTGCAGTCCCTGCCTTCATTCCAGAAGACAGCTTAAGGCAGGGGTGGGCAAACTTTTTGGGCTGAGGGCCACATCTGTATGGGGAAACTGTATGCAGGGCAGGGGGTTGGGGTGTGGGAGGGAGTGCAGGGTGTGGGAGGGGGTACGGTGTGCAGGAAGGGCTCAAGGCAAGGGATTGGGGCAGAGGAGGGGTGCGGGGTGTGTGAGGGAGCTCAGGGCAGGGGGTTGGGGTGCAGGAGGGGTGCGGGGTGTATGGGGGGCTCAGGGCAGGGGGTTGGGGTATAGGAGGGGTGTGAGGTGCAGGCAGGGAGTTGGGGGGCAGGGTGCAGGAGGGGTTCAAGCTCCGGGCCAGCACTGCTTACCTAAAGCGGCTCCGGGGTGGCAGCGGCGTGCACCAGGGCAGGCTCCCTGCATGCCTGCCCTGGCCCATGCTGCGC